ACTCGCCCATATTCATGTTTTTTTATGAAGACCGCACACAAAAGGAAGGGACGAAAAAAAAAAAAAGGCCTTTAGGTAAAGCAAGAAGGGATTTCGTAGCCGTAGAGTCAGAGAGGAAAGGTTATTTTTTAAAAACACTAAACCCCCACCCATTTTATATTAGAGATAAAAGCTCGGACGTGTTAACTTGTGGGAAAATATCTCCTGTGTATATTACGTATATCTCACACATATTACACATCTTACATAAGCAGAGTTTTAGTTGCTATTTTCGGCTGCAGAAGGGGTGTTCTTTATGCAACACCTTTACGTCACCCGTGCAGTTGCACTTACAATGATTTCTAGTGAATTTCCGACCCCTATATTAGTACGTTTACTAGAAACAATATTTTAAAGCACTAACCTCTGTCCGTTTTAAGCAATTTGATTGATTCTCACATTATTACGTCAGTCGTGAACAGTGAACAAAGAAAAAAAATTACATAAAGTATATTGCGGCACGTTGTTTGGCAGTATTTTCAATTTTCGGCACAGTTAATATTAAAGAGAAAGCACAAGCGGCATCTAAATTCAAGAAGTAGCTTTATCGAAACCAGTATAGTATACATAATCAATCATAATCAATATTTTATCTTATATACAAATGCTTCAATTTGACTTGTTCCATGATAATCATAATCTAAGCAAACAAAGAGTCGTTAAAGTATATCTAAATAACACATGAATCATTGAAAAATGAATATTTATCAGCTCGAGTTTTTGTTTTTTAATATACCCACGTAAATGCCACTATATAAAAAAATAAGATAATGCTTATTAATAAGATGTAACTAGCGCTTATTGAATCATATCTATCAGCTTTGGCGTAAGGATCAGGGGTTGGTGAGAAATAAAATAATGTCAGCTATTTTAAAGTTGGAATCTGACGCGATTAATTCACATAAAGTATACAGTATATCAACAAGATATAAAGTTAAAAGGTAAGATATAGACTTACTTGCAAGGCATATATTGTACGTTTTATTACGTCAGTAACATTTAAGGATAATATTAACGCGACTATGTATAGTATGTACTTAGCTTACAGGACAAGAACGAAGAGAAGTAGAAAATCCCGGACATGAGAACGTGTCATATCTGCTAGTAATATAAAATTTTATCTAATAAAATAGTTACTATTTTATTTCTTTTATTTTATTTCCGTTTTTCCCGGCTTTCGAATTTCCATATACCAGAAACAAATCTTAAACAATATAAATTACTATAGTACGGAAATTTCACTCAAAATAATTGTAGGCGTATCTGTACAGTGCCATAACCCCGGAGTCCAAAAACCGCACTTGGTTGACCAAAAGCTATTCGTGGTTAGACTGTGAAAACAATGTATTTTAGTTATAAACAACAGATGCTAAATATGGAATCCTTTACAGAACTGATGATCACTACGACTTAAAGCAACTAGTGAAGAGGTTCAATAATCGGTATTTGTATTATGCGGTTTTCCGGAATTAAACTCCGCGAAGTTTATAACCTATAAAAATTATATATACAGCATAATTAAGATAAAGCTTCTTTAAATCAGGCCTTTGTAATTTATACACATGTCAATGATAAAAAAGACCCCAACTATCTTGATCATAGGAGCAGGTCTCGGTGGACTCGCCTTATATCATTCGATCCAGAAAAATTTAAATGGGTCAGAATTAAAATTTAAAGTTAGAATTTTTGAAAGAGAAAATGGTCCTACTGGTAATTTAGTAATTCGTGTGATTATTGATTTTACGTGTTAACCTCACATGTTCTCACGTTCATAACTGCAGATCGTTGGCAGGGATATTGCGTGAGCATTAACAAACGCGGTATCATATCTCTTCTATATTGCCTACCCAGTTCACTTCAATCTCGTCTTCCAGAAGCAATGCCAGATCCCGTGCCAGGCGAACATCATGGATTCACTTCTATTGATGATACTGGTAATTTATTAATGCACCCGCCGTTTGGACAGACAAAAAACGTATTTGAAATTCCAAACTCTAAGAGTGAATACGGTTTTATCGTCTCCTATAGAGATAAACTAAGGAACTTATTATTGGAAGATGTAAACGTAGAATGGAATAAAAAATGTATTGGATACGAGGAAGTTGATGATGGCGTTTGGGCAATTTTCGATGATGGAAGTAGGGCGTTCGGTGATTTTTTCGTGGCTTCGGATGGAATTAACTCTCCAAGTAAGTAGACATTCGTTAATATCATTATACCGTAATTGATTTTATAATATTATTCTTTATAAATAAAGTCCGAAGGCAAAAGATTCCGGAATTAAAAGTCATGGATCTTGGAGTCACCTATGTTATTGTGGAGATTTACCCAAATAAAAAACTTATTGACAAATGGATGCCATATTTTAGAAATAGTTTAATTCATGAATCTCTTGGTCCAAATGGTGATACTGTATTCGTAGTACTTCGTCGTATACCCGTTGAATCCGACATAGAAAACAGATCCGATGATCAAATTCATTATCGAATGTCTATGTACTATTCCTATGATACGGATCTTGACATAAGAGAGACAGAATCAAAAAATTCTGACTTGAACAATAATGATAGTGTCGACTTTTTAGTAAACGACGACGACCCAAATTCTGTAGTAAGACACGTGATCGAGAGAATTAAGAAATTGCGTAAACCTTGTGAATTAAGAGACTTGCTAATTGAGTTATGGGAATGTGTACCTCTCGCTACACCTGAAAATTATGAAAAATATCCATTTAATACATATCATGCTCCGAGAAGGAGGCAAATGAGAGATATCGACCCGTTGTCAGTTGAACCCTGGGAAACTACACGTGTTATATTATTAGGGGATGCAGCACACGCTATGACTTCAATTTTAGGTTTAGGTAAGTCTATTCACCTAATGAACTACTCTTTATTTATAAAATAGAGTATATTATCAATTTATAAATTTTACTCTCATTATTCTCATTCCGCTAGGTGCAAATCGAGCATTACAAGATGCTGCATTGCTAACAAAAAAATTAGAAAATTTTGAGAAGGAAGGATGGAGGAAATGTTTTGAACAATATGAACAAGAGATGAGAGTTAAATCGTCCAAAGGAGTATTGGCATCCAGGGAAGTGATATTGTTTGAGAAAGTACAGAAGGGATACATTGGATCAATGATAAGAAGACTTATGTATAGGGTAATGGACATAAAAAATAATTTTGTCGCTTCCCTTTAAATACATCCATGGTTTATTAGACGATATAGAATAGGATTTTTTCTTGCTTAATAAATGTAAAGATTGCAGTTAACGACTTTCCTTATTATTCCTGAAAATGGACGATTCTCGCGTAAGATTGAACTAACCCAGTTTGGACTTAATAAATTCATTATTAAGCGCTGGACGACCAAATATTACCAAAAGTTAATTAACTTTTACATTACTGATAGAGGTTTTCATAATTAAAAAACTTTAAAACTTTTTATTAAAAACGATAATAAATACAGTTATTGGTAATGAGTTAAAACAAATAATAAAGGTTGTCATTGATTTAAAATTATAAAATTTATTTTAAAGTATTGTTTCTAAAATATTATTTCTATTTTTTAACATCTTCAGAAAGAAATTATACAAAATTTTAATTTATTTTAAAATATAATAATTTTGAAAATAATCATAAAAAAATTAATTTTATAAAAAATAAAATATTTCAAAATTATAATGTTAACAAAGAAGATATACAGTATGTTGCAAAAAAAATGACAATAATTTTTTTTTATGATTGAAATTTTTACAATTATAAAATAAGTATTTATTTAAAAAAATTAAAAAATTTAAAATTTAAAAGATATATATTTAATTTAAAAAGTTTATTATATTAATATTCGTATTTTCTTAAAAAAATTATTTAATTTAATAACTTGGTCTTTTATTTTAATTTTTAAAATCTTTATTTAAAAAATAAAAACTATATAAATATATACTGTATATTACTTTTTTTTAAACAGTAATTAATTAGAAATTAAAAAGTACAATATTATTAAAATAAAAATATCAAATTAAATAATAAAATAAATAATAAGGTAATCTTAAATAAAATTATTTTATAAATGTTAATTTAATTATATTTAAATTTATTAATCATTTATTAATAATTTTTGTTAAGTTATAAATAAAAATATAATTGTCAATTTTTTTGCAATACACTATATATATACACACATATATATATAACAAATTGGTTTTGATTATTAAATATTATTAAATAAAACTTTTTAATATTTTTTACTTTTTTATACTTACAGTATTATAAAATATTATTAATATATTTATATAAATATAAAATTATTATAAATTTGAAATTAAAAAATTTACAATATTTATAAAATATCACATAACATTAAAAAAACAAACAATATTTACTGTATAAAATATTTAGCATGAAATAAAATAAATTATAAATAGAAAAAAATATATGATAATTAATACTAATTCTTATTTTTGTTTATTTTTCTTGCAAGATTTTATTAAACTATTTGGTTAAATTGAATTTTTCAAAAAATTTTCCATTTAAGACAATCAAACATTATTTATATTGTATTTATATTTTGCTTTATATAGTTTTATTGTATCTTGGAAATTGAAGTTGTTTAACGGTTGGATTTATTTTAAAAATAATGACTCATGACCAAATAACCATGGTCATTTATAAATGATCGCGATTGTTTATCCATAATTCATTTTTAAATGGCTAAACTTAAATGACAAAAGTGGGTCAAATGACCTGGTCATTTACCATCACTGTGGTCGGATTTGATAATCGCTTAGGGTATATTTGATCATTTATTTAGTTTGACAGTACACGTAAAATAAAAATATCAACTAATTCTATTATATACCAATTTCTATCATTTAGATTATGACAGGAAAAAATTCTCATTATAAATGATTATTTGCAGTTGTGGGAACTTTGCTTTTCGATTCTACTCGGATGATGTCTAAAAATCGTAAAACGGGTAGATTTTCTCATGAGGTAAAGTAGATGTGCACATTAGTCACCATTCACTACATAACCTATGACTTGATAATATTTAGGAAGACACTAGGTTGCTTCAGTATCTTAATAATAATGGCATTGAAAAGTGGAATGACGTAGCGGCCCATGTGGAAACCAGAGACGCTAAACAGTGCAGAGAAAGGTAAGTTTTTTGATCTTACGTATTTAGCTATAGACATCAAGTTCTTAAGTTCCTTGCCCTTTCCAAAGGTACTATGGGCACCTAGCTCATAATGGTATGAAAACAGGTTATGTGACAATAGAATAAAATATTGTGTATGGGGTATTCTTTTAACGGTAATTGCTTTATTTTAGTTAACAAGGAACCATTTACAAAGAAAGAAGAGGATAGAATATGTGAGTTGTTTAGAAATGGCTATGGATGGGCGAATATTGCTAGAGAATTAGGCAACGGTCGTACTTCAAATAACGTTAAAAATCTCTGGTATCAAAAGCTTTCTAAAGGGAAAAAAGAAGGGATGAAGAAAAAAAATATTAAAAAATCATTTGTAAAGAGCGAAACGAAAGCACGGTCCCACAGTTCTTCGGAAAGACCTAACAATAAAATGCACAGTAATCAGTTGGTGAGTAACGTAGACACCGAACAACGTGTCGTTAACCTAAACGATGAAATATTACCCCATGAATTTATTACACCCCATGAATTTATTATACCCCATGCACAACAATTTTATGAAACGTTAACACTTTTGGAAGCAGCCGAACTTTAAACTCATTATCGTGAAATCAAGAAACGAAAATCATATTTATATTAGCTTTTCTCATACTTAGTCATTTATACATTTAGCTATTGTGATTATTCACTTGATTTAACAACAATTGATATTTCGAAGTTTCCAATGACTTTTTGATAAAAGGTGCCTCTCAAAGTCGAATAAAAATGGCCTTTTATTCTTAGTTTTAAAAGTTGAAATAATAAATCGATATATAGTATTTATGCAAAGAGGTTAATTGAAACAATTAATAAATATAATATTTTTTAAAAAAAGAAACAGTAAATATAATACTAAGGATTCAAGGATCATGTACAAATCTATAAACTTTTTTGATAGATGTATTGCAATTAATAAAATGCTTAGCTATAGTATAATATTTGTATTGTATTATTGTATTCAGATCAAAGATTAATAAATATTCTCATTACAGTTTAATTAAAAGTATAAAAAAAAATTAGTAAATATAATTATAAAAAATATTTATTACAATTTGACATAATGAAATAATTTTTTATTAACAAATAGACATAAAAAATAATTTTAAAAAACAATTTATTATAAAATTTTTTTTTTGTTTTTTTATTATAAACAATTAAAACTTTATTAAAAATGTTTACTATTTTTATATTTATTATCATATATTATTTAAAGTGAAAATTATAATAATTTAATATATATATTAATTATTGAAAATTAAATTTATTTTATAAATACATGCTGTAAATTATATATTGTATATAGTTAATAATATAACTAAAAATTGATTAAAATTTATTTTTTTTATATATTTTTTTTTGAATTTTTAAAATTATATACTGTATATATTAGTTATATTTTTAACAAGTTTTAATTAATAAAAAAAAAAAAAAACTCTCTCCTGATCGCATCCGTTTTGTTAAAAATTTTCCTTTCATGGTAATTTTAAGCAAGAAAAAATGTTTTACACTCTTTATCGCAAGTGAGCCCCAGCTCAGGAACTCAAGAACCTT